GAGAGAGAGAGAGAGAGCATTGCGCAAGATCGTCACGGAAACGCGATTACTCGGGGAATGCGTGGCGCCTTCATTTCCGCTTCTCCGCTTGTACACCTCCCCTGCATCTCGACTCGAAATTGTCGGGATTAATTAATATCGGGTGGGAGCGATAAAATCGTAATGTTACGTGTGCCTCCCGCTTTTGCGACGCGAGCGCGTGGAACGTGCTACCGATGAACCTGCGACGATAAGGTCGCGAGATAAGGTCGCTGCTATCGCAATAACGACGATGTAACCGGAAGTAGCCAAGTCCTGCCCGCCGTCCAGGAAAAAGAACATCGTCCGGTTTCCTTTCCGCATGGCCACGCAGCCGGCGCTACCGCTCGTCGGCTAGTCGGACTCTCGTCGAGATTTCGTAATTAAGCGCGTCTTGAGACATATTCTCCCCCCCCCTCCTCCCCTCCCCTCCCAGGTTGCGGATTAACAATTAACTTCTTTATGGTTGAAATTTACAACGCTTATAAAACGTTTATTATCCCGTATGATTTCACTTTGATACACCCGCGAGATGCTAAAACTTATCACGTTTGTCGTTGCAAATCGCCTCGGTGGTGGTGATCGTACGAATCCCGCCGGTACTTCTTTCCCAGTAAGGTATAACTACGGAAGAAGAAAAGAGAACATTTATATTGCCCGTAGGTAATAGAAGGCATTAATGGTCACGCATCAGAATACAGTAATAAGGTCCGTTCCTTTCAGCTGAACTTCTCGCACGGTTCGTCTTTCCACGTTGGAGAGGAAAGGAGAAGAGATGAAACGAGTGCGAGAGGTTCGGCTGAAAAGAAACGGAGTTATTGTTACAGAAAACATTGTTAAATTTTTATACTTTACTGGCGATCTTGCCTCTCCCAATCTCGCGACGATTAAGATTCAATCTTGAGATTTTGCGATTAATTCCCTTCCCCCCTCCCTCTCTCCCTTAGCTGGCGCCGCGTCAATGGGTTCGTCGCGCACGTGCTGACCCGATCGCGGATAATAGCGATCGATACGTGAAACAGATGCACCGTGAAAGTAAAATCCACGGGGCAATTTGACGGGGGATAATGTTATTGCCGGCACGGCAGGCGGATCTCTTCTTCTCCGGCGGTGAATCAACCTTTAAAGAGCGCCGTAGACGCGACGCGATTTCGCAAAATGTGAAAACGTCGCTCCCCCCCTCCCCCCTCCCCCCTTTCCCCCTTTGCTCTCGGTCGCTCTCTCGCTTCTCCGCCTTTGAATCCGTGCGATCAGGTTGACAGCCTTTATTCAACAGACTCTCGGACAATCAATATTTATCGTCGACGCTCGGATAATGACAGCGCCTTCCGATTGTCCGATAAACGTGGTAGAAATCGGCTTTCTCGTAGGAAATTTGACTGTCACCTACATCATTTCGCAATTTTATATCGGATTGTTTTTATTGGACAGGGCCACGCGCGAATCGCGTGGATTAAGTCTTAGGTTACGATAAAAATGCTCCGCTCCGATATCAATGTTGTGTGTGTAAAAATACCGTTGGAAATTAAAACGAGGACTAAAAATGGATAAAAATAATCGGGGAAATGAGGCCTTATTTATACTTTCGAGACGTATTTAAAAAGCGATTGACGTCTCGATAATCCCTGCTAATAATGACCGCTGCCGCGGCGCACGCGACGCGAAATGATATCGCTACTTTATTTGTGCCATGCGTAAGTTCGTCGACCGGACGCACGGAAAACGTTTTTGCGCTTGCGCTTGCTATTATTGTAACGGTGTAGAAAATTAGTCACGATGCCACGGGCTGTAGAAGTAAACGCTGTCAGGCACGCGCTGGCGCAACGTACTTGCCATGGTGCACGTGCGAAGGCAGCCTTAGAATTCAAATTAGGATCGATTAAATGCGAGGAAATGCTTATTTTTTTTCTCTCCAGCTCGATCATTTACGTATCAATCACGAGTGAAAAGTCGATGCGAAAAGTCTTTGACAAATATTTGATCCTTGTTGATCTTTTGCTCGGCGTATCTGGTAGCCTTTTTCAAATGTAAAAGTAAAAGGATGTTCTATTAATTGTTGTCCGAGTGTTGGAGGACCTACGTCGCCTGTTTGTTAAGCAGGACAGGAGGATATCTGGTAAAAAGTGTGACATGTGTTCGAATTAATATCTCCCTCATTTCGACGTTGAAGAAGGTAAACACCCGCATGTACTAAAGCACAATCGTGGAGGGATTCCAACAAAAATTCTTCGCGGTTCATCACGATATCAATTTCCAAGAAATTTACGAAGAAGTTGGTGACTTCCGGTTAGCCTTATCTTTGCGATGATTGAACTTTCAGAACGTATTAATCTTAAAAGAAACGAATTTTCCGAGATATGTACTCCGATCACGAAATCGGATAACTGGTTTACGATGATGAGCTCTCGATGCGCTTTCTATGCTCGATCAATCGTAAAGAAATCACACGAGTGAAGAGGGCAATTGCTTAGAGGAGAGTTGTACATTGTATGCGGCGTTGCGTGATCAGATCCTCAAAGATGAGATAATGCATCCGCGATCTTCGCCGCGGCGTTCTTATTTACACTCGGCTCGAGAGATGATTAGGGTGGTGGGTTACGGTTAGTAACATGCACGGATTGCCAAGTGGAACATACCAGATCCCGGTTCCCAGAACGCGCATTACCAATCGCCGTTTAACACGATTATACGTACCTTCCCGATACCGTCCGAGCTCACAATCGTAATCCCGGTCGTTGCTCGTGAGAGAGACATTCCGCATATATATATATATATATATGTATATATATATATCGTGGATATTCCACGATTCTCGGATCACGCTAATCTTATCGTACGAGACAGGCAAACAGAAACTGTGCCCTCGCATTTAGAAACCTATTGGATATTTTTATATACCCCGAGTAGTATTACATGTGTTTAAGAAATACGTATGAGCTTATTGAATGACTGATAAAAAATTCTCGAAAGTCTCGAAAAATTCTTGGCACGGCATTATACACGGCCTCAACCTCTGACGGCAGAATCTTCAACATTTTTTTACGTCGACTAATTAACAATTTTGTTTCAGTAATTATTTCAAAATATTTTAAGACACAAGACATTTTTATTAATCGAAAAGTCTCGGATGTATTTCCCCAATTAATAATATTGTAATAATTTTCATGAAGGGACCTTGCGAAAGCATTTCTCCGCATGGATTTCCGAAAATTTTCGATTCGATAAACTCTGGCAAGTCTGACAAAGTCAGTTTGACGACGATACCGGTTCCGAGGTTCCTCCGCGAAACGGATAAGTTTGCGCTAATTAAAACGTGAGAGTCATTTGTCCGTCAACGTCTCGCGCTCTCACCTGGCGCGAAGGGAATAAAAAGCGCGTTAAAAGGAAAATTAAAAGCCGAGATAGTGGTGGGAAGGATAAGGGAAGCGGCGCGCCGCGTTCGGAGACGCGAAGAAAGCGGAAGGTCGTCGGAGGTGGAAATACGATGGCGTTTCGACGTTCCTAAATCACAATGTTCCATCATGGACGCTCGCGCGCGGGCTGGGGCCCGACCGGTCGGAGGGCCTTAAGTTCAGAGGTTATCTTGTGCCATGGGAATGTTCGACGAGGCGTACGTAGTACTACGATGTTGAGTACTCAGTACGACTGCGCGTATACGCGTGCAACTTAACACGACATTGTTTTAGAAGTGAGCGCCACGTGTAATATTTTTCACTCGACAATATAAATGTCTATGTACTTTTCTTTTAATTTCGAAAGCGCGGGAATGTCGTGTTATTAAGGACAGTGAAAGGTATCGAATCGGTTTCAATTCTAGACCGTTACCTTTTGCTCTCCGGGATAATGATACGTCATCCGGCAACATGAGAAATTAATAATTAATCTCATTCTCGAGATAAATTTTCGGACGTGAGTGTGTCGCCCACGTGTGTCATTGTGTCATTTTACAGCTTAATTACGCGGCATATCATATGCAATTATTGCTATGTTTACGCGTTGTACTTGATAGAAGGCGGGACGCTCGTGAATTATTTTGCATTCGTAAATTTCTATACGCACGAGAGAAATTAATCAGTAAATTTTCAATAAATTTTCGTTTTCAATTGTTTTCACTGTTATACATACGCGTTTTACAAATACATATTACCATACATATTATCCATTTCTGCACGTACATATCTGTAAGAGTTGAAACATATAAATTAACGCTGTTGATCTCAATTATACAACGTTTCGATAGCTTCACGCGTAAAAATTTTAAAATTTAAAAAATAAATCGACAAATGAATTGTTCTTTTAATATAATGAACGATAATCAATTACAATCCATAAAAGAACAACGACTTTAATCTTTACCTTGCTATAATTTCAATAGCTTTAATCATCCCAGACGGTTAATATACTCTTTAGTATCCCTTTATAATCGCCTTTCCGACGTAATAAGTCAGATATTAAAATAATAACTATTTTTCATAACGGCGCATTTTCTATTTCTGTTCCAGGATTCATAAACTGCAACACCGCCAACACGTTGCAATCGCTCGCGCAGCTACATGGTGAGTGAAAACTAGTTGTTAATCCCTCCTCCCTCTCTCTGCAACCCCCTTGTACCTCCCTCGCACCAGCGGCTATATACGTCTCGCGTTACGTTTATTGCCAGATGATGATGATCACCGGAGGGAGGAGAGC